CATCCTTTAAGTGTTTTAAATGATTCATGTATTTACTCAATAACTGCTTAAGAGTTAAAATGTTAACCTCAGACAGTTTAGTACAAAGCTTCATTTCTTTGAATTTGGCATAAAAATTCTTTATCAACTATTATCCCCAAGACTGTAAAAAGTACTTGAAAATACAGATCAAAACAACCTTCCACAGAACGCTGTGCATACCTTGCAACCTGTAAAGGCTGTTCACTCTGGAGCGTTTGCTTATCTGCGGCCAAATCCCAAAGCGCTGGTGGGGCCAGGCCAGTGTCAGACTCTTTAATGCCTACACGGAGAAACATGACAGAATTCACTAAAGTGTAACGCATCACACAAAAACATGCTTTGTCACCTTCAACGCTGATGACATTTTGCACTGAATAGTTCTTTGCTGTGGGGATTGTCCTGTGCATTGTAGGCCGACTAGGACAGCCTCCTGCCACTAGATGCCCTTAGCACCATCCTTTCTCAAGTCACGAGAATCAAAAATGTCTCCAGACACTGCCAAATGCCCGGTGGCTGAAAACCACTGTCCTAAACTAACTGTGAAGCCAACAATGAAACGCCAAATTTGACATTTTTGTGCAGGTCAGACACTAAAATTTCACCACTGAAGCTCCCAAGAAGAAATGTTTCCAACTACCACTTACTTCAAGCAATACTATGTGAGATCATACTTTTATTCAAAACACTTTTTTAACTCATTTATTGTAATTTATTTAACTGGGCTTTGACCAACAGAAACATTACTTGCTTGGAGGATGGTATTGGTTTTGTAGTTGCATAAGCATTACGTAAGTTTACAACAGAACTAAAAAGAGATCATTAAATGAGACACCTGAGCACATAGCAAGATTTTGCCTCTACAAAAATAAAAAGCTGGTCATGCAATGCCAGCTACACAGGAGGCTGAGGCAGGAGGATCCCTTGAGCCAACGGGCCTGGTATTGCAGTAAGCTATGATGTCTGCTGAACTCTGGCCTGGGGCAACAAAGTGAGAGCTCATCTCATTCACTCATTCATTCATTCACTCATACATAAATTCATACATACATGCATAAATAGAGTGGAACTGAGAAGCCAATTTGATTAGGTCTGCCAAGCTTAACCTGCCCTACTTGCTTTTGGTAACTTGCTTTTTGTTATTTTTTTTTCCCATGTAGCTAAAAGCCACACCACTAAAATCAGTTAACTTAACCTGCATTGGCTTCCTTATAGATATTATTTCTAATGTATATGTCACTATGCTAATGGTTATTTAAGTTGTTTTTCAGGAACTTGAGGGCAGCTCCTATCCAGTTCAAACAAGTTGAAATCATCAACTAGGAAGTAGCCTTTTGATGTCAGAGGGCCAATCCTCCACTTGAGGATCCCACTCATACCATGTTCTGAACATGTGCCTTATGAAGAGCCATGAACCCCAACCACGTCTGCCTAGATCACAAATTACTTCACTTTTCCCCACTGCCAATCACCTTTCCCCACACCTTACTCCAGCCCACTTCTCTAACCCATAAACATCCCTAAACCTATCTTTAGGGAATTGGATTTGAAAGCTGATCTCCTGCCTTCTAGCGGGGCTGCCTTGTGCATAAATCCTTTCTCCTTTTACAAAACTGGCTGTCACTGGGATTAGTTTATTGTATGTGGGCAGAATGAACCTGATCAGTATCAAGAGGGAATGGGAATTAAAAAATACATACCAGTGAGCTCATTGATTTTCTTGAGAAGTTGCTGAATATCATCCTCAACCTGCTTGATCTGCCTAGAGTAAGTGCTCTGACCCTAGGTGATGAAGATCAGTTTAATTAGAACATCAGGATACCAAGAATTTGCTAAACTAGATAAAAATTGTCTCAAAAACTTGTGAAATGAAAATAGAGAGGGAGTATATCATTTTCAGAAGTATTGCTCAACCAGACCAGGCACAACGGCTCACGCCTATAATCCTAGCACTGTGGGAGGTCAAGGTGGGTAGACTGCCTGAGCCAGAGTGGTATCTCATCTCTAAAAATAGTCAAGCATCGTAACAGGCGCCTATAGTCCCAGCTACTAGGAGGCTGAGGCAGGAGAATCACTTATGCCCAAGAGTTTGAGGATGCTGTGACCTGTGATGCCACAGCACTCTACCAAAGTCTACAAAGTGAGATTCTCTCTCTCTCTCTCAAAAAAAAAAAAAGTATTACTGAATCAATATTTCCCCTTAAACAGATAAAAATCATGCCTAAAATTATGCAGAATTACAGATCCATCCCTATTCATTAAAACTTTCTATTTCAGAACTAATTCAGTTATACTTCTTAAATATAATAAATAATTGTATAAATTATTTGAAATAGTACTACACTTTAATCACAAATAGTATAAAAATAATGTATAAGCTGAGACATGCTAGATACTTGAATCTACTAATACTACAGACAGAAACGTTAGGTAGGGAACTTTTCTCACAGAAGATTACTGTGAACTACTACATAATCTTTTCTAATTATTCTGGAAGAACAATACCAAAACACTTTTTTTCAACATAAAATATCTACATTTTGTAAACACTGAAAGGACTTACATAAGTTTTCAGCAAGGCAATATCCCCCTCATCCAGAGCTAAAAGAAGAGAGATAACACATGAGATTCAAAAATAAACTACAGCAAAATTGTGAAAGTATAAAATACAGTCATCAAATAGCTCCTGGACTCGAGGAACTTTTACCTAATGGAGGGAATGAGGATTTAAAAAGGTCATAATGTACACGATGACATATTTTATATACTTTATACAGTATATACATGAAACACATCCATTAAGGATCTTGGTTAAATTATAACATATTCATAAAATGAAATACAACACAGCCATTGAAAATGATTAACACAAAATAGAGCTTATAGGCACAGAAAGCTACTCAAGAAATACTCTTAAGTGAACCAGGTAGGCTAAAAGAAAAAAAAAGGATATAGAAGGTACATTTAATGTTTTTATACAAAATTTCTTTAAAACAAATGTGAAGAGTACCCTGAAATGGCGTTCACCTGAAAGTTAACAGTGGTTATCCAGGATTTCACATGATTTATAACCTTTTATTCACAAATTTTATATTATTTATTTTACAACCTTTTTATTCACAAATTCTGCATTTATGAATTTTTCCCACCTCCTCAAATTTATTTGTAATCCCCAAGTAAATATTCATACACTTTTGTGATCATTTATAAACATGCATAGAGTGGCAAAAAATTTGATTTCATAGCTGACAAGTCACTCTGCCCTCTTGTTTCAGCTCTCACACAGAGAGGACCAGAGGATGGAAACAATAGGAGAAATGGTAGCATAGTCCAAGAAGCTCAGGATCTGGGCCCAGTTGAACAGAGTTTGAAGCCTAACCCTGTGATCTATTAGTGGGATAGCCTTGGCCAAATCACTTAACATTCCTGAGCACGGTGGCTCACACCTGTCATTTTAGCACTCTGGGAGGCCAAGGTGGGTGGATTACTTGAGCTCAGAAGTTTGATGCCAGCCTGAGCAAGAGACCAGTTTCTAAAAAAAATAGCTGGGCATTGTAGCAGGTGCCTGTAGTCGCAGTTACTCAGGAGGATGAGGCAAGAGGATCTCTTGAGCCCAAGAGTTTGAGGTTGCTGTGAGCTCTAACACCAAGGCACTCAACCGCAGGGTGACTAAGTGGGACACTATCTCAAAAAAAAAAAAAAAATTAAGAACTTCGTTTTCTTTTTTGTAGAATAAAAAAGAATCTTCCAGGATGAGTTGTTTTTAGGATTTAATATTATAATCTATGTGAGATATGTGTACATAGTTTCTTCTAGGAGCAATTGTTCAGTATTTGCAGCAACTATAAGGAGCATATACACCACTAACAATAAGAATCAACCATACGTGTTTTAAGAAAAACATTTTATTTTTCAATCTAAAAAGACAAGCTATTTTCACAGGGCAGACCAGGCTTTGGTTATTTTTATTTTATTTTGTTTTTGATTTTTACTAAGTATAAGTAGAGGTAGAGAAAAGCATGCTTAGGTAATAGCAGCTAGGGAACACAGTTTACATGTTAGGCAATAATAGAAAATTAGGTAGATAGAGCGTTAGGGCCCTAGTGAGGTAGACAGCAAACGCCAGAATGAGCTTTTGATAATACAAGAACTGTGCTTTAGGAAGAATTAGTTCATATGACATGGAGAACAGATTAGAGTACGTGA